ACGCTTTTACCAACGAATAGTGGGATTGACCGTCACATTATAACGCCCCCACGGCTGAAAGGGCGAGCATGTTTGGTGGGACGGGGATTCGAACCCGTGACCCGCAGATTGCGAGTCGAGTGCCCTAACCACCTGGCCATGCCGGGCCTACGAGTAATGCACTTCATGAAATAAGAATAATTACTTTATTTCAAATAGGAATCTCGCTTGATAAATATGGAGTATGAAACGTTCAAAGAATGACAAAATAAACAATCGAATTTCATATGGGTTCAAATTGTTATTATTATGTTTGTTACTTATAAATTTCTGGATTGGTCCTTTTTTTGTTTTTGCTTGTTAAGAATCAATATACAAATACATTTTAATTTCCTACAAAACTATGATTGTGTATTTTTTTCATGTTTTTTTGTAATCTAAGGATGTAGAAAACTTTATTAAATGTATTTCATTATGTAGAATGTTTAGTACGTTATACTAAAACGATACTGGAGCATCACCAAAACGTAAGAGTCAATGTAGTCCCATATAGTCATGCTCAATCCGATTAATGTGCACATGCAGGCGTTCCATAATCTATTTAGAGTACGATGGTTTTCCATCACCCATTTCAACAATCTGATTGCACAAATATTTACAGGCTCCGCATTCGGTAACTTGACCAGTATGTATTTGTCTGGAACAGCATGAATACCCGGTTCATTCTCAGTCTGCTTAAGGTATGCGATAGTTGAACAGACGGTATGATTGGAAGCCATATCTTAAAGAACCCATAACATGCTGGGCTCATTTCCGTACATATAGAAATTTAAATGTGGAACAAATGTTCCAGAACGTTGGACTGGTAGCAATGTTTAAGTTTAGAATTTTCAAGACGAAGCTGTTCGTTGTATTTAATGACATTGAAAAACAGAGGGGCAGCTGAGAGATCAGGAGAGTAAATACAAAGCTCAAATTGAAATCTGCCATCCTTATAATCTGAACATATGGATATTTTTTCGTCTGAAATTACTGTTACATATCATTCCCAAAAGCGATTACTCTTCGGTTCCATTACAACCTATGAAACACCAAACAACGTCAAAATCTACTTTTGATATATGTGGTTTTACCAGCACATTATATTGGATGGGGTTGTTAAGTGCCTTGCTGATTTGCATACTAAAATGATTTTGATGTAACATACTCAACTCTTTGAACACTGATTATAAAATTATGTAGCAAAATTATTTATTTTCTTAGGATCGAGAAGATTTACAGGGCGATGCTAATGATTATGTAAAAATGTTATTTTTCTCCAATGTTTATGCATCTGAACATTTGTGATTCAACAAAAAATTAAACATTCCTCAAGTTTATAATGAGGAACCTTTCGGGACAACGTGCAATATTAGATATTATATAGAAATAAAAATATGTTGAAAGTGTAAACAAGAAAAATTATAGTTCCTTTAAACAGTACGCTATTTTGCCTCTCTATAACCAAAACAATCTTTAACTATTACTTGAAATGTGTAGAACATGATAAAGCTTGCGAAACGTTTTGGATAAGTTAATTAAGTTGTTTACCACATTAATAACAGTATTAAAAATATAATCGCTAAAATCTTACTTGGATCCACATAAAGTTTCTGGATCAAAATACTATACAAGTTTCAGAAGAACCCACAAATAGTTCAGGAATTTTGTATAGTTTGTATATTTGAGCCGTATGTTACCATGCTCGGCTCAAATATACAAACTATACAATCTTGTTACCATGCTCACATAAATCTAGATCCTAGAAGAAGATTGATTAGCAGATTATCAAGAAACATACTGTTGTGATTACGTAATTAATGCAATTCAAGATGTATCATATTGTACTATTTATGGTTACAGTTTCCTGATTGTTTTTTCAGGTGTTAAGTAATAATTAGGGTAATTTCAAACTGTAGAACGATAATAAACATTTGAAGTTTATACGACATTTTACATTAGATCTGGTTATAGTATTATATGTGATGTTGTTGTTTTTTTTTTGGTTTACCATTACAAAACTTTCATTGGAAAACAAACAAACAAGCAACATGATGATAAATTGCCCGTATGTTTTCATAATGTAAGTAGACATAACTTTAGTATCCTGTGTGAAAACATATTTCCTTGCTTTTTGAAAGAAGCTGGTGAACACGAGTCTATTATAGATCGGACATAGTCTGAAATAGTGGGTGCCAAATAACAGTGAAGGTCAAATTCTACTCTTTGATTAAAATAGCCCATGTGTTGGCGGTGGGTGGTGTTGACTAGCTGCCTTTTCTCCAATCTTCCACATTACAGTTAGAAACAGTCAGCGCAAACAGATCTCTTGTAGATTTGGAAGAAATTTAACAAACCAAAATATTATATAACTAAATCTGTGTGACTGATGATGCTTATAGCTGTAAGAGAGGCAACATTTAAATAAAACAATACAAAATATATATGAATGAAGTAAAATTAGACGTATTGCCTTCAGTTCTCAATCTTTCAGCCATAGGCCTACATCAGGCAGTTAACGAACAATGTTTCAAGCTAGTGCTTACCTTCAGATAATTTGCTAACTGATATAGAACAGACAGACTAAGAATTTTCATTTAATTATCCTTTCAGTGATTTTTCAACAACTAATTCTAAGTTTTATAATTTTTTCGTATTTTTTCTTTACGTGACGCGACAACAATGCTAGAACAATTCATTTTTAATGTTCGTAGCCAAGATAACATTATTGTACATTGGTAGTTGCTGAATATATGATCGTTATGTACGCTTACTAATACGCATCTATTACATGTTTTTGTACACAATTCAATACTGCAGAAGTCTTTTTGTTGAAAATGGTAATTTAGTGCTTTGTAAGCTTTTCATAATTACAAGATAGGTAAACTTTGCATCTGAGAGTCCATTAATGAAGCACTACCAGAAGGGTAAATTGTAGTTCCATATACTTTTGTAAATCCACACAATTCAAATGTGAGTGTGAGGGTATGAATACTGTAACCATAAGTCATATAGGTTTAACATTATAAGGTTTATTTCTTTGTATTTTAAGCACAAAGCTACACAATGGACTATCTGTCCTATGCCCACCACGGGTATCGAAACCCAGTTTCTATCTTTGTAAGTCCGCAGATATTCTGCTGTACAACTGGGGGGTGGCAACATTATAAGGACTTATTCAAATGTTAATTTCAATGCTTCTCGAGTATATTTTCAAATTTATAAGACAAAAACACAGAAAGTTACATAGCAATGAAACTAAAAACAGAGAAAAAAAACAACAGAGATAAAACAATTATCGCATGGCTAAATTCCTGATAAGCTCACACCTCCAGCAAACAGACTATTCGCTTTTTCAAATCTTGTTTATTTGTATTGATGAAATTCGCGCAAAGCTACTCGAGGGTTACCTGCGCTTGCCATCCCTAATTTAGAAATGACATATTAAAGGAAAGTTAACACCATCCACGGCGAACTTTTGGGTTAATATTGACCAACGGGTAGTGGAGGGTTGATTGTTACATTATAACGCCCACACGGCTGAAAGGTTGAGCATGTTTGAGGAACAGGTTTCGATCTTATGATCTGCAAGTTACGAGTCTCGTGTCCTATCCACCGCGTCATGTAAGACTAATTTGTATTTTCTTTTTGTGGTAAATTCATTAAAGCTCGCTAATTCTGAAATCCAGAGCTTGTTTGTTTGTTTTGAATTTCGCGCAAAGCTACACGAGGGCTATCTGCGCTAGCCGTCCCTAATTTAGCAGTGTAAGACTAGAGGGAAAGAAGCTAGTCATCACCACCCACCGCCAACTATTGGGCTACTTTTTACCAACGAATAGTGG